GTCTCCAGACTGATTAGCGAGTGAAACCTTGAAAGCTCGCGAGATCAGGATGGTCTCACGAGGCTAGATTTTTGGCTGCCCGACATAAAATCAATCTTAAGTTCCTACTATTGATTTTCAAAAACAAAAAAAGTTTTACCTAAAACCATGAGGGAAACCTACCTCTGCACCTCTACTCTGGCAGATGGTGCTGTGGAGCCATTTTGCTGTGTGGCGCAGTGGAAGCACAGTAGAAGACGTTGACTGACTCAAACCCCAAATGATTAATATCTCCTGATGAACATATACAGCACAACATTTTTTATCTGTAAATTAAATTTTGACAGCAGGGAAAAATATCACAATATGTAGAAATATTGCAATATCATGATAATATCGTATCGCAACACTCATGCCAATACTCACCCCTACTCCCATGTCAGAGGATGAAGAGAGCACATCCAGCCAGTTACAGTCAGAGAAACAGGACTACACAAAAAGAAAGAAAAAATAATCTGTCTGGAGCTGCAAAAATGTAAAAGCCTTATATAAGCCTCGTATAGCAACACGGGCTCTAAGTGTATTATCCCACTATAGAAAAGGACTATGAGTTTAAATATATATAATAAGCATTCATGATTGAATGTTTATCCTGAAGCAAATGTCACATAGTAGCCTGAGGTGACGGAGGAACAGTGAACGCTCCCATCGCGCACCGCTTCACCACCTTCACTGCGAGGTTTACGTTTTCTTGCAATGATGAAATTATAGAAACACAATGAAGAAATCTTTCTATGGTGGACGTGTTTCTGCTGGGAGGAGTTTATTGAGTCATGAGGAACCAAGCAGGAAGTGACATCAGAGCAGAGCTCTCTAACCCCGAAATCCCACATCCTCCGTCACCATCGTTCCTTGGTCTGATTAATATTTTTAGGATTTAAGGGAAAAAATGGAAGAAAGTTCAGATACCTGCATCAAAGCGCTGCCTGTTTGATCTGTGGACGGTTCTCCATCCTTGCAACAAAACCAGTAGCAGTAGC